TGGTACCTCTTCCTATTTACCATCCTGTTTCCCCCACCCTGTCCAAATGTCTGGCTCGCTGTTCTGTCCTCCCTGGCAGGGCTGATGCAAGATTTAGGGCAGTGTGGGGTAGGCTGCCCATGGGCTTTCCCACTCAGGAAACACTCCACCAAGGCTCATTTACCTGACACGGGGGCAGGCTGGGCTGGGCCCCCCATATCTTACTGGGAATACCCTGGGTATACAGGGAGCTGGTGGCCCTCATTGAGGTGGCTGTGGGTGCTGCTGTTTTCAACTTTCCCCACTCAGCCAGCCCTGTGCCCAAGTCTGGTGGGGAAGTCGCAGCCCCTGGCTTTCCATGCAGTATTCCCGGGGCTCTTCCTGTCTTCCCTCCTGCCCCTGCTGCAGGGGCTGCCTGCCAAATGCATCCCATGCTGATCTGTGCAAGCCATATCCTGAAGCAGTGCATATAGCTGGAAACCCTAAGGGTGACTTGGGTACCAGCATGTTTGTGGGGCACCCCTGGCACTGGATTAAAACAAATCAAGGGTCATTCCTGAAAGCTTCAAGCAAAAGACTGGAGGGCAAGATCTGCAAATGCTTCAAGATTACCCTCAAATGATGGGACCTGCAGTTTATCGTGCTCTGAGGAGAAAGAGCGGAGCCTAGTGTAGCAGAAGTTGGACCCCAAGGCAGCTCCTTCCCACATCTGACATGGCTGCATGTAGCAGGGGCAGGCTTGCTCTGAGCTGTAATGCTTGTGCTGCCTGGGGCTGGCACAAGGACATGGGGACAGGGCAAATCCCAGTCAGGGAAAGCTGGTGGTGGGTGTCGAGGAGATGTGAACCTCCATGCTGCCACCATGTAGCATGGCATGGACTGGGTGAGTTGCACCCTCGCAGCTGGGCATATCCTTCAGGAGCTTGCTGGATCCCCTTTGGATCCCATTTCCAATTCTGGTATCCACAGTGTCCTGGAGCACAGCCTACATAGGCTCTGCCTCAAAAATGATCCATGAAGTTCCTCCTTCACTATCTCATGGATGAGGGGGACTTGTTGCTTCCCTTCCCACATCACTCAGGGTCTGCGTGGGCCACGTGGCACCCTAGCTCTGGAGGTCTGTCCTGGTCCATGCAGGCTCTCCCCATCCCTGTGTGCCATTTCAGCCTGGCTGGTTGCTCTCTAAGGCCAAGGAGAACCACATGCAGCACTTGAGGATGTACGTGATGGTTTCTATGTTGTTTTTAACATTAAAGTTTCACCTCAGTAGTATTTAACTTTTAAAAACAAAGTTACATAAATCCAAGTATGTTAATTAATAAAAATAAATTTATCAAAAGTGATTATTAAAAAAACCAAACAAATTCAAACACACTCATTCCCAGCAGCTTTTCCAAACAGTTCCTGGTGTCTGGTGTCACCTCTTTGACTGCTGCTGTGCACTGAGATATTCCAGGCAGCTCTGCCTGTCAGAGTTGGTAGGGCCAGGAGCCTGCCTTGCATGGCTACCATGTGTTGCTTCTCCCCCTCCATCACCTGAACCACCTGGGTGCTCTGTGTGACCTTGTCCCTTGTTCCTCCGGTGTCAGGGGGTCTTGGACAACAAGGACACAGGTTCCTGGGATGGATGTGGCTGTCCCACTGAAACGGCAACAAGGGCAGGAAGCAGGGGAAGGCATCACTTGCACAGGAGGTTTGGGAGCTGCATCTCCAGCTGTCCAGCCTCCCTCTAACTCTGGGGAGGTAATGGGAACCAAATGAGTCCTAGCACCTCCCTGGAGTTCCTGTGGCTGCTGCAGGCATCACATACTCAGGGAAACACCAGCTCCCTTCTCTGTCCCTGCCAGAGGGGAGAGTCCTGCCACTCGCCTCATCCCGAGAGGGCAGGGACTCCCAGCAGGACATCACACCCAGTGGTGGTATGAGGATCAAGGTGGGGGGCTGCTGCCCCAAGGGGAAGAGCAGGGCTCCTGGCCTCAGGGCTTGTGTCTACCACCCATGTTTTCTCTCAAGGAGACCAACCACTATCTGCCTGTCCCTGCTCTGTTTGCTCCCAGTTGTGCCTTTTTTAGAGGCTTACACCACTAGCTCCTGGCAGCCCTCCTTGGCCACAGCAGATGCGTCACCTGAGCACCCTGACAAGGTCAGCTACATCTACAGAACCTCACGTCCCCCAGGTGCTGTAGAGCGGGGCTGTAGGAGCAGACTGGTGCCATTGTAAAGGCACCATGACAGACCCCAGCCCCAAAGCCAGCGGGGTCCCCCATGGCCAGGCATAAAACATGTCCCAGCCCTGGTTCTCCCAAATTCTCCATCTTTCCCCGCCTGTGTAAGCCTTGCAGACAGGCAGCTGTCTCACAGGAGCAGCACACACTGTGTTATCAGCATCCCTGGGCTCCCTGTGTCTCCCAGCCTTACAGAGCAAAGGTTTGTTTAATAAGGCTTTAGGAGCCAGAAGTGCAGTAAAATGGTTTATAAGAGTTATGGGGGAGACAAAACATAAACCAGGCTTATGCATCAGGAACAAAATATTACATATTTTTGGGGAAGTACCTGTAAAGGTGATGTGGAGATCGCCCCAGAGACATAGTGTCATAGCTGATGAAGTCCTGATGTTAAAGCTTATCTGGTTGCCTCCAGCCTCCCCAGTCTGAGGAGACCACTGGAGCGCTGCCTCCCTGCAGCTTCTCTCAGCACATGCCAGTGCAGTTGTCTCATGTCTCCATGCAAATAAAGATTCACTGAGGTCTTAACCTCTCACTTTTGACTTACAAGACTTTTGCATCTGAACAACGTTGGGTATAATCCTTCTGCAGTCAGTGATGTTTGCAGTCTCAGCATGTTTTAAGCTTTTGCCAGCTCTCATGCATCTATTTTAGGCTGTAAGAAAAAAGGCAGCTCTCACTTTGCTCCCTGTTATTTGTCTGTGCTAGTTTTGTTTTGGGAGTTCCTACTTCCCGACAAGGGCCACAAACTCTTCAACAGGTTAATCTAAAAGTAATCCCCCAAATTTAACATCCTCTGTCCAGCACTGACACGGGAACCTGGAAGCCCACAGGTAAGGGCAGCTGTGCCTCAGGACTGGTATGCGTCTTCTCCTCTTGCAAGGCTCTTGCAGGCCAGTCCTTGGGGCACTTCTTGCTGATGCCTTTGGCTCACGCTCTTCTGGCTGCTTCAGAGGTGTTTGGCGATGAACTCAACAGTTTTGTTCCCCTCCTAGCAATTCCTCTTCACATATCTCTGTACCACCATCACCTCAATATCCACACCTCCCTACAGATACATTGCACTGGATTTTGTAATTTACCTGTGCTCTCTGTCCTCTCCAGGCCCACATAGATCTGCTGAAGTCAGGGAGGTGAGCTGCGCCAGCAGCACCCCTGCTCTCATCCAGGGCCCCACTTCACTTGTTTCCTGCTCAGACTTTCTCTTGAGTTTGAAGGAGAAGCCCCCAGGCTCTAGTGGGGATTAAAAGGCCCAAGAGACTGGGGGGTATAAGCAGACTGGGCAAAAAAACCTGATTTCTGTGATGTAGGGTTTGGTGGGGAAAAGGAACCTGGAAATGTTTTGAGGAGAAACCAAAGAACCAAGCAAGCCGATGATGTCTGGGCAGCCAGTTGCCTTACAAAGCAGACCCCTTTTTGTCCTCCCAGATCTGCCCTCTGAGGCACAGTTAATACTTTTGTACTCCCAAAGAAATGGTCTTCGTTAGAGAGAGTTTGGTTGCTTTCCTGTTCTGTTGTTAACCGACTGGGCTGCGTGAAAGAGCTGCCTGGGGGTGCTGAGCTGGGGAGATCCCCTGCCATCAGTGTGCACAGGGTATGAAGTAACCACAGGGCAACCCCACAGCAAGTACTGGCTCTAGCAGCAGCTGAACACAGGGACCAACCAGGCTGGTGTGGCTGTGATGGCACAGCACAAGGCCAGGTCCTGTCAAAATGAAACTCCCTTTTTAGAATCACTTCCTGTTGGAATGGGACATCCCGATAGGTTAGCAAGGGATGAACAAAGATGCAGGTGCCTCTCTTTTCCCAATAAATCTTAGTATAGTTTTTCTTAGGATATCCCTGGGATTTCATTCCAGTCCTCCTCCCTTTGCAGGTCCCCTGCCATCCCTCTGGAAAGGTGGTTAGTCAAACTGGGACCAATAATCCAACAGACACAGCAAACCAGTTGGCCTGAGCAGTAACCGATTGAGCACTCCTGGTTCAGCAAATCTCCTCCGCTAATAACTGTGTTGATCTATTGGGCCCTGCAAGGCCTTTCTGGCTTTCCAAAAAAAAGCGAAGCCAGGAGGGCAGGAATACATGTTTCTAGGCTAAGACAGAGACTGCTATTTTCTACATACTAAGTGGTAGTAACCACCGGCTGGAATCTCGACTACGATGTCACTTTGCTGTACCTTAATGCATTTGTGCTGATGTTCCCTGTTATTTGAAATAAGTTTGTAAAACTCAATGAGTCTACAAGAGCTGGTAGAAGGGCCAGCTGAGAGCCCGGCGTCAGGGGCAAGAGCACCCACTTGAAAGATGAAATTGGGAAGAGCCAAGGGTGCCCTGGGCTGATCGTGATGAAGTGGCAAGACACCCAGCACCTTAACTGAGGCACCGAGGGGGAGGGGCTGCTGGAGTGGGTGCACCCTTCGGGGGCCGGCAGAGGCAAAGGCTAATTAAAACACGGCTAATTAAGCGTTATGGGAGGAAGGAAAGGCGGCGGCAAAGGCAGCACTTAACGAACAGGAGCTTGGTTAATTAAGGGCAATTAATGGTGAATAACGATGACAATAAAACAAGCAGAGCGACGGCGCTCACCGCGCGTTAACGGAGCGATGGAGCGCCTGCCTCGGGCAGGGGCGGGACTCCGGCGGGGAGACCCGGGCACAGACCCCGCCGGGGGGCGATGATGATGATGATGATGATGATGATCTCATCCGCAGCCAATCAGCGCCGGCCCTCCCCGCCGCGCCCCTCCCGGCGGTGCCGGGATGCTCGGCGGCCACGCTGCCCAGGTGCGGGACCGCGGGGGGCGGTGGGGAGCGGGCCGGGGGGGCCGTGCTGGTGAGCGGCGCCAGGCGGTGCCGGACGAAGGGGCCATCGCTCCTCGGCTGACCCCGTGCCCCCCTCCCGCTCTCCCGCGGCGCAGGGCGGCGGCGCGGGGCCATGAGCCGGGCGGAGGCCGAGCCCTGCTCCCGGGCGCTGGCGCAGGCCCGCGTGTACCTGGGGCAGCTGCGTAGCCGCGTCAGCCCGGCGGGCCCCGAGGGCGGCGGGCGGCGGGACTACCTGGTGGAGGCGGCGCGGCAGCTGCGGCTAGCGCTGGAGCGGGACGTCAGCGAGGACTACGAGGAGGCCTTCAACCACTACCAGAACGGCGTGGACGTGCTGCTCCGCGGCGTGCAGGGTGTGTGCGGCCTCCCGGGAACGGGGCACCGGGGCAGCCCTCCGGGGACACCAGCCAGGGCATCCATCTGGGGAGTGCAGTGAGGGGGTCAGGGTATCCCTCCAAGGATGACAGGGGGGACCGGGACGTTCCTCTAGGGACTGTGATGAGGGCACTGGGACATCTGTCCGGGGAGTGCAGCCAGGGAGTGCATCCCTTGTGGGAGGAGGGTGAGGGGACTGGGGCAGCTCCCTGGGGACTGTGGCCGGGGCACCAGGGGAGCGTGGCAGGCCCCTCACAGCCACTCTTTGCACCAACCACAGTTGACCCGAATAAAGAGCGTCGGGAGGCCGTGAAGCGGAAGATCACACAGTACCTGAGGCGCGCCGAGGAAATCTTCAACTGCCACCTCCAGCGGGCTGCAGGGGGTGGCAACACCACTGCCACGGTGAGGGGCTTGTGGGATGGCAGCAAAGCTGCATCACTGGGAAACCATGGGGGACACAGATAGGGCAGCCCCAGTGAGCCTCTGCCACATGCCACAGTATGATGGTGTAGAGAAAATGGCATACACATCAAGCTTCAAAGTGTCCTGGCATGCCAGTGGCTGTGTGGGAGCTGGCAGCTCTTTGCCCTGCCTGGATCAAGGAGCTGACACGGGCCCAGCTTTCCTGGGATGTTCCCAGAACCCCCTCCCCCAAAATGTGTATCCTTAGCTTGCTGTCACCATAGTGAATATGACCATTTTTGGGGAGACTGAAGCCACTGCAGGTAACCACCTTGTCAAGTGTTAAAAATGTCATCTTCCCTGTCATTGTTCCCATCTTTATGGAAAAAAAAGACAATGGCTGCTTGCTGGATTGTGAGGAGGAGGTGGTTAAAGAAAGGAGAAGGGAGTGAGGCAGGGCAAGGTTGGGGCTTGGTAAGAAGGATGAGGGGAGAAATACAACTACCTTCCATATAGATCCTTTTAGTGTTGAAGCAGTTCAGGTCTAGCTATAAATTTTGAAGTGATTTTACTTCTGCTGCAGGTACAAGCTTTCCCTGAAAAGTTCAGAAATCCAGGGGCTGGCCAAGAAAATGATTCAGCTGATGTTAGGAATGAATCACAGCCATAATTCATTCATTTGGAGTGTTGTCTCTGAATGTTGACCACATAGGCAGTATTGCTGCCTCCTCTGGAAAATGCAGGGACTTCTCCCACCCCATGTTGTGGACAGTAGCATCTCTAAGTCCTTCATCTTCTTCTCTTACTACCTTGCAGGGCTATAGCAGCCTGCGCTTCCGGCCCATCAGGACGCTGAGCTCAGCAGTGGAGAACCTGAGACGGTGTAAGGTTGTGGGAGTGATTGATAAGGTAATGACTTGGTGTGGAACTGGGAAGGTGAGTCTGCGGCTGGACCAAAGGGAGTGTAAACTGGAGGGTCCTAGGAGCTGGGATGGGGGTGCTAGTCCCAAGCACCCCCACCAGGGAATGTGGGGTTATCCGTCCACACCATTCCCACCAAGAATAATTCACAGGACTGGATTGAAGACCCATTAGGAGTTAATTGGGAAATCTGTTCATGTCCTCATTATTTTTGCTTACCAGAACTCCCAGGTTATTTACAAGGAGGTTGATACGTCCAGTTCTTTCCCACACATGGAATCATGGTTGATGATAGGTGTCGCAATGGTAGATTCCTGCGGGTAATCTGGACTTCAGCAGAAGATGAGCTATCTGGATGAATAAACTAGTTACTAGTTTGTGATCTTGGAACGAAGATGCCAGGCTTACTGACCCCATACACACACTACACATTGCTCTCCACTGCTGTTCCCACATCTCAGTTTGTCTGGACCGATGTGGTCTTCCTGTCATGACGAGGCCCAGGTTTGAGCCCAGTGCGCCCCACAGAGCTCCTGGAAGGAGCACTGCGAAACCCTTCAGTGTGAAGGAAGGAAAAATGGTGTGGGAGTCACCTCTTGGGTTTAATTAACTCTCTGCTTCCTGGCTGCATGGCTATCTCCTTGCTAATAACCTTCATTTTGTCTTTCAAGAGTAGAGGTTTGAGCCCCACCAAACTCCTCTAGTTGGGTGGTAGTTTTTTTCAGTCCCAGAGTTGAGTCTCTTGGGTCATTCCTGTAGGCTGTGTGTAGGGGTGGAAGCAGTGATTGCTTCTGACAGGTACTGTGAATACTGCTTCCAGGTGCAAATCGTCCAGGATCCGGCCACTGGTGGGACCTTTATACTTAAGGTGAGTGTTTTCAGTTTCATCTGCCTGTTTCTCTCTGTCATGCCAGGGCCTCCTTGTTCAAGCAGATGGCTGGGGCAGGTGAAAGGACCAAAAAATAGCAGCTCTCAGAGGTGTTGGAGGAAGGTTCACAAAGCTTCTTTTGGCTGCCTCAGCCATCCTTTGTGATCAGAAGGGAAGTGGAACTGGGAGGGTGAGGCTGCGGCCGATTCCTTGGTCATCTCTTTCTCTGCTTTGTAATGCTTCAAGCCAAGACTTATGCCCCTGTTAATCTGGTCAACCCCTGAAACAAGTTATGGGTGAGATGTGCTCAATACAAGTTCTAGAGCATTTTCCAATCCCCTTGGAACTAACAATAAAAGATTTCAATAATTGGACAAGGAGGATCTGGCATGACAGGGAAAACCATCAGTTCCAGGGGAAGAGGAGAAAGGGCTGGCATAGCAGGTTCCTGCCTAAAGGGAGCAGGGGTGGTTGTGGGGTGGTCACTGCTCTGGACCAGATGTGCCCTCTGGATCCCACAGTACAGGTGGGGAGTGCCCTGCCTTGGCAGAGCTTTGCAGAGGGCTGCCTTATCACAGCTGGATGCTGGGGACAGACAGACCTCTCCGCAAGAGCTGCGGGTTTCCACACATGAGGAGTTCTATTGCAGGTGACATAGTCAAGCAGCCCTGGGGCTTGGAAGACAGCACGCTACCTTCTGGCTGGCCTCCAGCCCTGCCACGTGCTGGGCAGCAGGGAGTCCAAGTCCCTGTGCTGTAACACACATTTGCCTGTACCTCCTCAGAGCCTCCCCAAATCCCATGTTGAGACCCGTGAACGACAGACCATCATCCCTCATGGGGTCCCCTTCATGGTCAAGCTGTTGTGCTACTATGTGAGTGAGGACTCCATCTTCCTCCACCTGGAGCACGTGCAGGGTGAGTGGAGACAACCTTGCCTCCTGTTTGTGAAGCATCTTGGTTTATCCCTAACCTCCTTTTCTTTAAAATTCCAAATACGTTTCTCCTACTGTTTTGGGACTAATTTTTATAGCGACAGCGCAAGTCTCCTTCATAGGAGGGTGATGGGTACCAGGGCTTGAAGACTCTGTGGACAGAGCTGCTCACATGTAGTAGGAATTCTGGAGATTTGATAAGAACTGACTGGGCATGTAACCTAGAAATGGGCTTGTGGAGACCTACAAGGAGAAAGAGGTTGTGTGTTGGGGGATGTTATATGGAAACTAGCCTTAGGGAAACTAGCCACCTTGTCTCATGGGAAGGAATGCCTTTAGGTAAAGAAGTTGATGTCATCCAGCATCTTTAAAAGAAAAAACTCTTCATTTACTGGCATTGTCTGAGCATGACAAGAAGGTGATGGAGTAGGAGAACAAAGTGAGGTAGTTCACCTGGATGTTTTAGAACAGAACAATCTTTTGACAAGACCTTTATAAAACATTTTTTTGGTTACAAAAGAAGAGATCACACTGGATTGTGAGATCAAACCAAAAAGAGGAGATGGAAAATTGGGCATAAAGATCAGGGAGCACATCAGGGTTTGGGTACAACAACGAGGCATATTTGAGATTTGTCTCAGATCCTGGTTGAGGCTTGTCCCAAGAAACTTCTTTACTCTCTACAGGCTGAATGGATGTGTAGGGGAGAGCAGCTGGAGTCCAGCAATGACAGGCGGAGGCTGATGTGTGTTGGAGCCTCAACAACTCGTGCTTTGCTGTAGGATGAATTTGCAGAAAGCAGCCAGCACTGAATGTAGTGAGGCTGGGAAGCCTTGGCAGGATGCTATGGGCTCCAGGGCTCACTGCTCTGGCTCATTGCTGACCCACGGGGTCTGGGACATGCTGCAGGAACTCTGGCATCTCTGTCACACAGGAAGGAAAGGATTTCAGGGGAAAGTGGGGATGGCAGTGGGATCAGGGGCGTCCGTGAAGATGTGACTGGTCTGTGAAAATGTGGCTGGTCTGTGACATGGAAGTGGCAGAGCTGGGATAAAGGAGGCTGTGCAGAATGGGGAGCAGGGCTGCTAAAGGAGGAGACTTTGGTGTGCTAGGTCCTTGGGGGAGGTGTGGTGTTGAGCATGGTGTGCTTGTAGGGCTGGGGCATATTCTGCGTGGACTTGAGCTTTGCTGCAGGGGAGATTAGTGATGCTCAGTCACATCCTCAGTATATGGGCCTTGGCCTGTGCTTGAATGGGCTGCGTCCACGGTGGGAGAACTAGGGATACTTTGTTCCTCATCACTTGTTCTTCTGATTTCCAGGGGAGAAGCTGTGGTCTCACCTCCGCACCAAGTACTGCGTCCAGGAGGACTCTGCTGATTCAAACACCATTCAAGCCCTGAGGGACCGTGGCAGAGAGGATGGTGTGGGAAGCTCCCAAGGTAGCAGCCAAGCTTGGTTAGGCAGTGGCCTCCCAGGCTCTGTGACCCACCGAAACACTGATGCCTCACTCCGTCAGGAGCAGTCCTTTGGGCCCACAGATCCCAGCTCAGGAAACCACCGCCAGCTTCTCCTGGCTCCTGCCAGCAGCATGAAGGCAGCACCTGGAGGACAGGATCCAAGCATGACTGTGTCTGGTGTCGTGGACTATTTTCCAGCAGCATCAGCCAAATGCCCTGGCCAGCAAGGTGGCCAGGGCCTGGTTGTCTACCTCTGGGATGATCTAACCAGCAGCACAGGCTGCGTATCGGAGAGAACAGCCTCCCAACAAGACTCCAGGCTTCCCCAGGCCCTTGCCCCTGGATCAGAAAGAGGGGGCCAGCCAGGGGCAGGGGAACCACTGTCTCAGAAAGTGTCTGAGGTCTCCTGGGCTCAGCCCCTCCTGATCTTGGGTCAGAGGCAGCTTCCTGCACGAGTTGCCCTGTCCAGCTCTGGCAAGCCCTGTGGGCCTGACCCAGCAGCGTGGGAGCCCTCACGAGAAGCAAGCCTGACCTGTGGCCGGCTAAGCAAGCAACAACCATCAGGACCATGCAGGGCTTTGGCTTCCCACAGGCAGAACCAGAGAGCATGGGCTGTGAAGGAGGAGCAGGTGCAGCTGTGGGCAGCAGAAATCCTCCTGGCTTTAGAGGGACTTCACCAACAGGGTGTGTTGTGCCGGGACCTCAACCCCAGGAACCTGCTGCTTGATGCAGCTGGTAGGTAGTGCCCCATGCTGCTGCCCCGAGGAGGATAAGGTTGGTCTCTCAGCTGGCTTGCCCCATTTCCAGGAAACATGGACTTTCTTGAGTTTCCTTTGGAGGAGGATGGGAGTTTGGAGAGGTTTGAATGTCCCTGAAGTTGGAAGTGTGATCTCAGGTTTTCCAAGTGGTTAGTACAAGATTTGACTCTGCAGGAGGAGAATCAGGGGCTGTAGCCACAGGAATGCATTGCCCCTGCTCCCACATGGGGGCTGGCTGCTTGGGAAATCTCAGCATGGGAAAGCTGAGACCAGCTGAGGTTAATGGGACTGCAGTTTTCTCCTCCTTCTAGTTACTGCCTGCTGGGTGTTCTGGAACCTTCCCATCCTTTTAAGCTATGGGTACCGCTCTGAGTGCAAGTCACTGCTCAGCTGGCAACATCTGGGGCAAACATCTGGAGACCTACTAATAGCTTAAGAAAAATGCAGAGTTTTGCAAGAGGAAAGCTAACCTTCCCCCTCATCCCCCAAAAAACCCCTTCTTTCCTCACCACAGCCTGCACTGAGGTCTGTTAGCTTGGAGCCCACCTAGCCAGTCTCTCCAGCTCCAAGTGCTGTGTATCCCAGGCAAGCACTGGAAGGCTGGGGAGTGTGTGATGCCAGGGGATGCGCAGTGCCTCTGTGTTCAGAGCATGACGGGGCCCAGTACCCTGGCTGTTCCCAGTTGTGGGGATATGGCTTGGCTTAGTGCTCCAACCAAAGTCCCTATTGTCCTAACGTCGCTGTTTTTGGTTCCGGTGCTGCTCTGCAGGTCATGTCTGTCTCACCTTCTTTGGCCAGTGGACAGAGGTGGAGCCCCAATACTGCAGCCAGGCACGGGAAGAGCTGTACAGTGCTCCAGGTAAGAGATGTGAGCCCTGCCTTGTCCTGCCCTCTGCCCAGTGCCACGAACTGGGGTGAGGGAGCTTCTGCAGGCAGTGAGATGTGCCCAGCATGGTATGGCCATTTGTGCTCCCTGCCTCCCCTATTAACCTCTCTCTGGCTTTTTCTGCAGAAGTTGGGGGGATCGTGGAGCCCACTGAAGCAGCTGACTACTGGAGCTTTGGCTCGCTCTTGTATGAGTTGCTGACAGGAGTGGTAAGAGGCTGAGCTGTGCAAGGAGGGTGGGGGAGGAGGAGGTGACACTGTAGCACAAGGGCTTCCTGCTGTGCAGGGGCTGGAAGGCTGCCTTGTCCTGCTGGTACCTCAGTGATTTGCCAGGTCACTTCGGACATGTGATTCCTAGTGCCTGTGCATGGTCTCTGGGTGTTAAAGGCCCTGGGTTTTAAATCCTGCTGTGTAGGGCTGGGTTGTGTAGCAATGAAGGCTCATCGGGGTGCTCCTGCCCTCCTCTGTGCCTCTGCTACCATGACCCTCTGCCTCCTGCAGCCACTCTCCCAAAACCATCCGGCGGGGATTCAGCCTCACACCCAGCTGCATCTGCCACAGGGGCTCAGCCTGGCTGCTACATCGCTGCTCACTGAGGTGAGGGACTTTGGTGGATGGGAGGGAGGACAGGGCTAGAGGCTGGGGAAAGGCAGACTGGGTTGCTTTTCCAGTGTTCCCATCTACCCCTCCTGCTGTCCCATCCCCTTTCTCTGCAGCTCCTGCAGTACAATCCAAAGCAGCGCTTGGGCTCCGGAGGAGGTGGCATGGCCAAGCTGAAGTCCCATTCCTTCTTCAGCACTGTCCCCTGGAACAAGCTGGTGAGCTAGGCAGGCTGTGCTTCCCTTAGGGAGCTGGGCACCAAGCCTCTGTCCCTGGCACTTGTGACCCCAGGTGGCACTGGCAGCTCTGCCTGCTGGGGAAAGTTTGCCTCAAGGGCTGCCCTGGGCTGGGGTACACATGAAGTTTTGCAGCCTTACGTGGCCTGTCTCTGCTTGTTTGTTGGCATCTCCAAAGAGGAGGCTGCAGGCTGGGCCAGGCTGTCTTCTCATCCAGGTCCTCCCTAGTGGGAAAGTGAGCCCAGGTGCTCACCCCCAGGGAGAGGCCGTGTGCCCCTTCTGGGGCATCCCTTGCTCAGCTTAGCACCGCACCCTGGAACTCCCCATTTTTTATCTCTGCTGCTACCACAGTGACCTTCCTGCTCTGTTATTTTTTGTGGCTTTCAAATGCAGCCCCCCTGGGCACTGCTGGCTGGAGCCCGAGCTCTCTGCCCATCCCTTACTGCATGTGTGTGTGTGTGTGTGGGTAATGCCTGCTGCAGGAGTAAGATGGGAGGGAACCCTCTGCTCTTCTCCCCCTCACCCTCTGAAAAAATAAACCACTCATTGCTTGAAGAAATGTTCTTTTGTTTCTGAGCTGCACGAGCCAGGCCTAGGCCAAGCATGCTGAGCAAGGGAGAGCCCCAAATCTGTTTCTCAAACCTGCCTGCGAGCACCGGGTTGGTGTCATCCCCTGGCCATCAGCACCATGCAGCCAAAATCCAGAAGCTGGCACCGACTGCCTGGCCATCTCCCCTTGTGTCCCGCTTGCCTCACAGCCTCTCAGGTTTGCACAGCCAGGGGGCTGCAGCTCAGATTTGGGAGAAATGCAGACTGCCTGTGTTTTCTTCCAGCCTTGATTTTTGTCATCATTATCTGTTGTGGCTCCAGCCTCCCGTGCCTGGTGCTTCTTCCAGCTGGCAGGACAGCAGCCCAGCCCTCCTCGTTGCTGTGCTTTGAGCACAGTCATCCCTGGTAGACCAGACAGTGAGGGCTTAAAGAGGTGAGCTCTGAAAGCCAGCACATATGGAAGGAGGCCAAGTGTACATACATTCAGGATGGAACAAAAGGTAGCGTGAACACTGGTGTTTGCTAACAGCCCAAAGCAGAGGCTGCTGTGCTCAGTTGTGCAACTCAAAGCCACTCAAAGGCTGAAGGACAAGCTTGCAATGGCAGCAGTGTAGTTCTGGTCCTCCTCTCTCAGCACTCCCTCACACTGTACACTTATCCGGGACAGTAAAGAATTACTGGCACCAGTGAAACTTCTCTGTGGCTAGCTGGTTCCAGCTCCTCCTTGCCACCAGCAGTAACACCTTGCTGGCTGAGCCTGCCTCTAGGGAAGCAGCAGGAATGCTTGTCCACCAGAGGGAAGCAGAGTCTGGGAGAAACTCATCTCCTGCACCAGCAAAGGTAGGGACACCTTAAAGGCTGTGACAAAATGGGAGGACTAAGCAGGGAATGACCACTGATGCCACAAGCAGGCCAGAGAGCAGGAGCAGCTGAGCCTGGGGCTTTTCCTCTCCAGGGCAGCCTGCACCGTCTGAACCCTCCAGCTACAGGCTTGTACCCTCATCCACCAGCCTCCTAGTCCTGTGATTCAGGGGAGGTTCAGGATGAAGGACCCTGTGGCCTAAATCACAGCATGGCTTCCTGCAACTCAGTGCCATGGGTGTCACCTAGGCGGGTCAAAAGAAAGGAAGCTTCAAGCATGACCCTCCTACAGTGAGCCCTGACAGGGCTGGTTAAATAAAGCAGTTTGCTAGGCTGCCTCATTTTAAAAGCTTGACTGTACATTCACTCCTTAGTTAGTTCAAAGGCCTCATTTATTGCAGCTCCAGGCAGAATACAGGCATTGCCCTTCCCCAGGCTCATAGGCCCTTCATATCCTAAACCAGCACGGAGGACTTGGAGCTAGCAGCATTTTTTAATCAGAACCTTCTCTTTCACTCATTTGCAAGAACAACTAGACCCTTTGCCCTTCCAGAACAGGGAAGGGGTTTTTCCTCTCCTTCTAACCTTCTAACCTTCTACCTCAGCCAGGGTCAGGGAGAGGAAAGTTGACTCCACACACTGGTTCGTCCCTAGCTGCCAAGAAAATGCAGGCACTATTACTAGGAACCCTTTTGTCAGCCTACCAGCTGTGAGTGCTATTGTCTTCTGTTAGAAGGGGCTGCCCTCTTCACCCGTAGCTGGGAAGGGCAAACCATTCTCTGAAGTTGATGTCAGAGCTGGGAAAACCCTGCCATGATCCAGAAATGATTTTGTATTGTTCCAATAAGGACAGTTCCTTGGGGAAACATTCCGCACTACAGCCAGCTTCTGCTTTACAGTTCTTTGAGCTTGCCTCCTTTCTCCTTCTGCAACTCCCAAGAGCCTTTTCCCCACTTGCATGATTTACAACTCTTCCCTGTTGTAGCAGTGAAAATCCAACCTGGCTCCACACCTGTACTTTATGAGCCTGTCCCAGGTCTCCCTCTTGGCCATCATGCCCTTTAGCAAACAGTGGGAATTCCTCACCATCTGTAACAATTCTGTTGCTAGACCAAGAAAAGGATGATTTCCAGCCCTGAAAACCTCATCTTTGCTGGGAAGAGCCAATTCTTTGGCAGGGAGTTAAAGGACAGTAGAGTTCACAGGCAGAGAAGCCTCAATTTAGTACCACCACTGATGGGTCCAGCTCCCATTGCCTTTTTTCTCTCACCACCAGGTAACAGGCTTCTTACACTACACAAGGGATGCTGCTGATGCCTGAGTCCTTGCCCAGGAGCTGCTCCCTCAAACACACCCCACCTTGCAGTCGTTGCCCACTTTTATTTCATTTAAAATCCGCTGTGTTAAATATTTTAGTTACAAGTTCTGTGTAGGGGGTAAGAGTAATAGACTCTGCAGGCACTAGCAACCCCCTCACCCCTCAATACATGTGTGCGCTATCAGATTAAGGACTGACCCCTCCCCCCAAAACCAGCACCCATGGGCTGGGATATACATTACAGTGAAAGGCCTGGCCCCCCCAGCTGTGTCTGCTGGAAGCAGGCCAAGCCCCCGCACGCAGGAAGCCAGCAGTCAGATCCACCACCAGTGAGCTGTGATTCAAGGAGAGTTGCTGGGGGCTTGTTCTCACCCCTGTGTCGGGCCTGTAATGGTGAAAGGGTTGTCCCCAGGAACAGTGCTACCTCCACAGAGGTCATGGGCGCTGCCCATCTGGACACGAACATTCACGCCACAGTGACCAGGCTGGTGAGAGACAAACAATCTCCAAGGGAAAGTAGGGGAGCTGCCACCACCACGTTGCTGTCTGTGGAGGGAGTGTAACTAGGGCGCTGCCAGAAGCACGACACCTACCTCAAGCCCTGCTCTGGTCAAAACCTCTGCTGCAAGGAGCCTGGGGGTCCCCCAGACTGCCCTTGCAAGGCAGGTGAGTGTGAAATATTTTCAAGCAAAAAATGGACAGGACAGTAGCCTTTCCTTTCCTCTCCCTCCCAGGAACCTTAGTGCTAGGCAATAAAGCTGAACCCGTCATGGAGGGGCGGGGAAAGTACCCTAGCACAGCAGCAGCAAGCAGTTTCCAGTGGTATTGGGCAAGCTAGAGGTGAGAATTTGGTACTGTGAGGGAGAGGATGCTGTACAGATATCTCTGGAAAGGCAGTGCCATTCAGTGGTTGGCCCACTGCATGGCAGTTCTTGTGAGATACTAAACCTTCATTAAACAGAATAGCAAAGGAGGTAGGAGCTATCCCTGTAATTCCCTCTGGGACAGCTCTAATCACAGCGGAGGGAGAGAGACTGGAATGACCCCTGCCAGTTCCTGAATGCCCTGCATTGTCCCTGCTGGTGCTGCGGCCTGTCCTGGGTGGGTTGTGTGGGGGTGTGACTGCTCTACAGGTCGAGCAGCAGCACGCGGGGATCCTCCACCGCTGCCTTGATCTTGCGCAGGAAGGTCACTGCCTCTCTGCCGTCGATCAGCCGGTGATCGTACGTCAGCGCCACGTACATCATAGGCCGCACCTCGATCTGAGAGGCAGGAATAAGACAAGGATTAGTGAGCTCAGCCCTACTGCCTGCATGATCCCCTCCTGTGAATTCAGAGAAGACTTGGCTTTTTCCTACCCTGAATCCAGGGCTCAAGCCCTCCTGGATTTGTACTGCCTGGCAGGATTACCTAGCCACTCACTCACCCAGGCTTGGTCCATGCCACACACAAGACTAGGTCCCTTTGTGGAGCTGTTCCCTATCACAAAGGCTACAACCTCCTCCTCTCTGCACCTAACCAGATTATGTCCAGTTCTACCCCTCACAGATAGGACAAGGCCCCCTGCACACCTAAGGCAAGTACAAGGGACAGCAGAGCTGCCCTACACCCATTAGTCTCTGCTTCTCCTTCACAGTAAAGCCTTTTAGAAGTTGACAACAATTCCTTAGAAAATATGAACTATGGTCCTCAACCCACTGAGCCCTTCCCTCTGTTCACTAAAACCTGCAGTGCAGGTCCACCTACCTTGCCTCCCACAGCCACAGGCCTGTCAAAGATGGCATGCATGCCTAAGATGGCAGACTGGGGTGGGTTAATGATAGGTGTCCCAAAGAGTGACCCAAAAACCCCTCCATTGCTGATTGTGAAAGTGCCACCGTCCATGTCTTCAATGGCCAGTTCGTTCTTCCGTGCCTAGAAGAAAAAGTGAGGTCTTAGAAAGCCACACACAGAGAGCAAAGGAAAGGGTTTGGACGTTCACTCTCTCCATAAATACTGATTGCAAGAGCTTCGCTTATTGATCTATGCAGCTGAAACCCAGCATAAATTAGTTGAAAATGCATCTGTCTTTAGAGCTGAACATTTAGTGTCTTTAGGGAAGGATTCTCTTGCCTTTGCTTCCAAGTCCTGTTTTTGCAGGAAACAAGATACAGGGACTTCTATCCCAGGGCAGTTAAGCCTCGATCTCTAAAGACAAAGGTGAAGACACACCATGCCATTAATGCATAGTTTGTGGTCTTCTGAAAGGACAACAAGTATATAGGGCTGTCCTGGAAGGCACAGGCACAGCTACAGGTGTAACTGGATCACTCCCCACAGTGCAATTCAGTATGTTAGAGGTCCAAGATGACAACACAGAGAGACCAAATCAATTCATGCCTATCCAGCACTCCCAATTCCTCCCATGCCTCCCAACCCTCTTCAGGAAAACCTCCAACTTTCCTTACCTTCTCCCCCAGCTCATAGATAGCGCGCTCTATGTCAGCAAAGTTCATGTTTTCTACATTCCTAACCACAGGGACCACCAGACCCTGTGGAGAACCAAAGTGCATGAATAGCAAACTCCACTGCAGCGACACACAGATAACTATTATGGGGCAGGAGCCTGGCTGCAGACCCATAGAGTTCCTGCCTTTCCCTCAGTGCACAGCAGGTGGTGGGAAGAGCTGCCTTGCGCCCTGGCAGCCTGACAGGAAACCTGGCATGACACACACCAAGGGCTGACACCATAAAGGAGCCATTATCTTTGTTAGCCTGTCTCATAAAATCAACCAGGTCTGTCTGGATCCAGCTCCACATTCATAAAAGCAGGGGAGGCACTGGACAG